AAAAAAAAAAAAAAAAAAAGAAGATAAATCAATTAACAGGGAGACAGGGGCTATCCATTGTCAACACCTTGAGCCACCCAGCATTTGAAACTTAAATCCCTCTTTTCCCTAGTGCCAGCAAGTCAAATGAAAAGCAGATGAGTAATAAGCCTTGGAGAGCATGGAGATTCCTGTGAGGAAGAGCTACCTCCAGAAGGAAGGCATCACGAAGAAAGGCGGGAGTGTGAAGGAAGAAGCAAGCTTCCAGACCACCAAGCGTGCCTGGAAAGCCTGACTGGTGGGGATGATGTCTGCTAAATGCTCCTGCTCAGAATGGGGTAAAGATTCATACATTCCTCTTGGGAAAAATGCACAGTGTCTTAACTCAGGCTGCCCTGCCATAAAAAATTACCATAGACTGGGTTGCTTAAACAATGCTCATTGATTTCTCACATTCCTAGAGGCTGAAAGTCCAAGATGAAAGTGCCAGCAGATTCAGTTTTTGGTAAGGGCTCTCCCGCCTTGCATATGGCCACCTTCTTACTGTGTCAAGGTGGGAAGAGAGAGTAAGCAGCTCTCTGGTGTCTCTATTCATAAGGGCACTAATTCCACAGTGACAACTCCTCTCTCATGATCTCATCTAACCCTAATTACCTCCCAAAGACCCCACCTCCAAACACTATCACATTGGAAGTTAGGGCTTCACCATGAATTTGGGGGCGATACAATTTAATACATAGCACACAGCAAGATCTGCAAGTCCCATTAGCCCTTGAAAGAGCATAAGACTATGCTCAGTGCTCAGACCACCATCCACTTCAGATCTGGAGTTGCCTGCACAAACGTGCAAAGGGCCAGGGAGGAAGGCAAAGCTGGGTTTTCAACACAGACACATTTTGCTTGCACACCAAACATTCTGGAAGATTCTTGCTTTCCACAAAGACATATTCTCTCTCATTTTTCTTCCTTTTTTTTCTTTTCTTCCTTCCTTTCCTTTTTTTTTTTTTTTTTAAGACAGAGTCTCACTTTGTTGCCCTTGGTGGAGTGCTGTGGCATCATAGCTCACAGCAACCTTAAACTCTTGGGCTTAAGCAATTCTCTTGCTTCAGCCTCCCAAGTAGCTAGGACTATAGGCACCCACCACAATACCTGGCTATTTTTCTTTTAGAGACAGGGTCTCACTCTTGCTGAGGCTAGACTCAAACTCCTGAGCTCAGGCATTTCACCCATCTTGGGTGAACATGGGGAAATTTCTCCCTATTTCAAGTAAAGCAGAAGAGCTACCAAGATGACAAATGGCTTCTGCTACCAGGCCTTGGTGTCAAGGAAATTGGAAGCGGGGAGGGGGCAGAGAGGGCACTGGCTCCCTGCCGCCAGTCAGTCCAATTGTCCTTGAAGAGCCAGATATCTGGATTTATAGGTAAAAAACTCTCAGTTTTGAATGTAGACTCAAAATGGTCTTAAATCTTGTACAAGGTAAACACAACACAACATACTCCTGGCTGTGTCTGGCACACACAAACAAGGATGTATATGTGAATGTAAAAAGTATGCTGGGGCGATAGCGCTATGAAGAAAAACAGCAAAATGGGGGAGAGAAGGATGTAGGTGCTCATGCAGGTCAAACATATTTAGAGTAAGGGACAATAAGCTCATTTGGCACTCCATCTCAAGAGGGGATAGGACCATCTCCTTGGTGTTAAGATTCTCCAAAGCCTTTCTCAGAAAAGGCAGGAGGTCATGGTTAACCTGAATGGCCATCTCATGCAGGGCACTGCCAGTCAGGCCCTAACAAGGCCGGATGAGCCTGCGTGTTGACATCTGGAGATCGTTCATTCACTTCCAAGGCCTATTGTCATAGATAAGTTGGGGAACCAGACTCCATGGAACCAGGCAAGGACCCAGGACACTCTGTGCACCCAGTGAGCTGTTGACTAACTATAGATTTAGACTATAATAAAAATTCTTTGAAGATATAACCACTTTAAGATAGGAAGATATTGTGTAACTTTGTAACCTCTGAGGGGGAATCTGTCTGGGTGTACTCTGCTGAGTAATAACACCGCTGATGTGCACTTGCACTGAGAGAATAAAAAGTAACACAGGGGAAAGAGCAAGCAGAACAGCTCTTCCAGGCGACATCCCCGCTGCTGTCTGGAATAGCTGGCTTTTCTGTGAATAAAAGTGAAACTCTTAATCTCTCATCCGCATTTCTGCTGATTGGCTTGGGCGACAGGCAGATGGACTCCTTGGTCCGGCCACAGTCTGAGCTAAGGGAAGAGAAATAGAGATAAAATGTCCAGCTTTCCTAGAGAATCTGCTGTGGGCTGAAGCCAACCACACAGAGAACATGTGATAAAAGACAGAGAAGCAGTTGCAAAATAAGCATCTTTCTCAACCTCCTCCAGGGTAGATGAGCTTCCTATTCCTGGCAGCATGAAGATTGCTCTCAAGAAACGGGAGGTGCCCTTTGAGGATCTCAGTTCTAAAGACAGACTTTGTTCAAAATAAGGCTGGAAAAGAGATGCTAAGTGCCTTTGCCCCTCCTCTGTCCAGGAGATAACAGTCTCCCAGGTCAACTCCTACCCATCCACCCTCCTCAAGCCCCCAAGAACTTCCAACCTCAAATAGCACTTGTCCTGCCTTCTTCTTTCTGACATAATAAAACCCTTGAACCTCAGATAGTTTTAAGTATTGAACCCAGAGAGGGTTGCAGAATTTGGAAGTACAGAAATGGGACTACAACCCAGATCTCTGATTCCAGAACCTCAACTCCTAATTACCAGCCTAATCTACTATAGCCTATAATATCAACCCAGCACCCTAAAATCTGCCTCAGTCTTCCATATCTGATTCCCCCTCCTTTTCTTGTTTGGCTGAACATGCTCTGCTGAGTTTCCATCTGCCTGGAGTGAGCCCAGCAAAGAGCCCCAGCACCCAGTTTAGGGGAGCAGCATTGCCACGCACACAGTAGGTGCACAATTAACGTCCGTATCCTAGGCAGGGCCCAATCACTCAAGGATTATATCCACCAGAACTGGAAGTTAGGAGAGCCGGATCCAGGGAGCAGGCCGGACTACACTTGCCAGAGTGCACCACATCACTACCCAGAGGCAGGGGCTGGGGAGCCCCAGGACCCCAAAGCTGCCTTGCCTCCTTGCCTGACAGTCTTCCCAAGAGGCATCTCTGCCAGGGTCCTTGTATGACAAAAGAGATTCTATGGATGTAATTAAGTTCAGGGTATTAAGATGGGTAGATTAGCCTGGCTTATTCTGGTGTGTCCAGTGTACTCACAAGGGACCTTAGAGGGGGGAGGCAGAGGGAGATTTGACCCAGAAGAAGACACATGACCACTGGAGCAAGATGTACTCTGCTAGCTTCTAAGTTGGAGGAAGGGACTATCAGCCACAGAGCGAAGCTCTTACTGGGTGTCTAACTTTTTTCTCTTCTGCCACACATTGGGAAAATAAGAGGTGTCTTGCGTCCCACATTAAATACACAAACACTGAGGACAGCTGATGAGCATTAAAAAAGGTCTGCACATACTTTTCACGATATCTGACACCACAGAGAAGCACAACAATCCTCCAGGTGGTAGCAGACACATTCTAGGAATTGTTT